GATAAGAATCCTAGAAAACTTGGAATGGAGGGTTTGTGCCTCATCCCTTGTTCCTGTGCTCTGTGTAATTAGACATCCATGACAGAATGCCACCAGTCCGGTTCCTTCTGCTGAAGTTAGGCTTAAAGAAGTTTCCATCTATGTATAATCATTTCCCACCATGATCTAAACTGTTATTTTACTGCAGAAGTTCCTGCAGTACCTATAGTTCAAAATGAGTTCTGCATCCCCAGTTCTTAGAATGTCTCCATTAAGAAACCATTATCGCCAGAAATTATATGGAGTTCCTTGTGTTTCCCAAAACCCATTTCACCATTAATCAGATCTGTCAGGAGCGGTCTCATTGTGAGGACCTTTTGACAGCTGCCATTGAACAGTTTTGCTTGGAAGTGGTTATTCATCTGCTTGTTGCCCGTTGTGCCCATGAGGATTACCTCCAGAACCCCCATCTCACAGTGCAGGATCCGTTCCCACTCTGCCCAGTAGCTCTGCTAGACAAGAAGATTTGCTCATGGTAGTGAACATGCAGCCTTACAAGGTTTGTTTCATGAGTAAATTTTAATCCCGCTTTCCAGGTGAGTTCAAAATATACTGCAGTGCATTCTTCGATCCTTACTCTTTCTATTCAGGGCTGTGCACTTTTAATAACTTGTGTGTCTGGTGTTTAATGCTGACAGGATTCCAGTCAATGGAGAGGTTTCATTGCGAGTAGCTGCAGGTGTGTTTCGTGATGGATAAAAGTAGCTATTTCTTCATGAAGGGAATTAATGTTATTTTAAAGTCTTCAACGAGAGAAATACTTTTTGGAAGGTAGCTTTTTATGTAGAAACACCAAGTTGGGACATGTTTCGGTGGGAGTTCTGTATTCAAGTATTCTGCTCTGCACAGTTTCTATTGTACTTTAGCCTGCTTCTGAAGAACTGAAAGCATCTACAATATAACCAACGCACTGACTTAAGTGCACTGAGCACTGACTGTGTTTTCATAACAGTTTGGTTTTGGTTTTTTGGGGGGAAAAGGCTACATTTTTGCCTTGTCTGTCAAGAAAGATTTTTTTACTTTTAACATGCTGTGATGGTAAACTGCTGTTTGTCTGTCTTTTAAATTTCTTGTTGGCTGTGGGAATACCAGGCTGCGTTTACGTGACAGCAGGAGAACTCGCAGTTCTTTACGTTTGCTTGTCCGTGCTTATCGTGCTACATCTGCCGTCATCGCGGTCACTGTGCACGTGCCCTCTGTGTCACGCCGTGCCTTACCCCATGTCTCTCCTCCCACAGCCGGCTACAGCCCGCAGCAGGCCGCCTCACAGCCGGCGCAGCAGTTCCCAGCCTACAGCCAGCAACCGGCCCCAGCCGCCGCCTTCCCAGGGCAGGGCCAGGCCCAGCAGCTGCCGGCGCAGCAGCCTCAGCAGTACCCGGCGGGCAGCTTCCCCCCACAGCCCTACACCACGCAGGCCTCGCAGCCGGCCCCGTACAGCGGCCCGCCTGGCGCCCAGGCAGCGCCCGGCACCTTCCAGCCACGGCCCGGCTTCACCCCGCCACCCGGCAGCACCATGACACCACCGCCCACCGGGCCCAACCCGTACGCCCGCACCCGGCCGCCTTTTGGGCCCCAGGGCTACGCGCAGCCCGGGCCTGGCTACCGGTAAGGGCCGAGTGCCCGATGCTGGCTGCTGCGGCCTGACAGCCGTCCCCACTCAGATCTGGAGCTGTCCCGAGGCAGAAGAGTCGCCATAAGTGTTCATTAGTTCTGCGGGGGGAGGGAAGGAGCGACCGAGCCGTTCATGCTTTGAATTGTATCCGCTTCCTAGTTTAATTTGGGGCTGGGGTGGTTTGGGAACACTACCTACGTGTCTGTCAAGTGATCGATTGACATCCTAGCTTGCCTCGTTTGAAGGATATTAAAATGCTAGCTGGAAGTTTAGCCCACTAATAACATGATTTACTAAATTAGATTAATTTGGAGGTAAAAACTAGATATGATGTATTATAAATTGTAATGCTCACATGGAAAGCTAATAAAAAAAACCCTGAATCTGTTATGTGCCTAGTCTTGATTTCAAAGTGTAGGTAGTCCAGATCAAGAAAACTACATAACAAGTGTGCACTGTGCTCAGTGTGCAGACAGAGCTGGGTAATGATAAGCGGTGCTCACATTTATGGGCACGTGGCATTAGGTGTGTAAATGGAGAACTGTTCCCAAGGCATAGAATCACAGACTCATTGGAGTTGGAAGGGACCCTTAAAAGTCATCTGGTCTAACTCCCCTATAATGAACAGTGATACCTACAGCTGGATCAGGTTGCTCAGAGCCCTGTTCAGCTTCATCTTGAAATCTCCAGGGACAGGGCATCCACCACAGCTCTGGCTAGCCTGTGCCAATGCCTCACTACCCTTATTTTAAAAAACTTCTTCCTTATATACAGTCCAAATCTCCCTTCTTTCAATTTGAAACCATTTCCCCTTGTGCTAATACAGCAAACTGTGATAAAGAATCTGTCTCCTTCTTTCTTACAAGGCCAGCTCCCTTTTAGATACTGAAAGGCTGCTCTCAGGTCACATCAGAACCTTCTCTTTGGGTTGCTCCATCTTTCTCAGCCTGTTCTCATAGGAGAGGTGCTGGTTATCTCATATCACCTCCTTCGCTACCTTAGCATAGCTACCAGGATATTCCCCTGCACAGAGGTGAGGCTGACAGGTTGGTAGTTCCCTGGATCATCCTTTCTACCCTTCTTAAAAATGGGTGCAACACTGCCATTTTTCCAGTTAGCAGGAAATTCACTTGACCACCGTGACTTTTCAAATATCATTGACAGCAGCTTGGTGACTGTTTCAGCCAATTCCCTTAGGACTCTGGCATGCATTTCATTGGTACCTGTAAACTTAGTGACATTCAGGTTCCTCAGATGGTCACAAAACCAATCTTTGCTTACAGCAGGAAGGGGGTCGCTCCCTGAGATCCCACCTTCTAAACCATCCACTTAAAGGCTGTGTGTAGACCAGTTGCCTGAGGCAAAAAAGATGTTGAGTACTTCAGCCTTCTGCTTGTCTGTTGTCGCCAGCCTGCCTGACTTGCTCACTAGGATGGTTCGCACTCCTGGACTTCTTTACCAGTTGATGTGCCTACAGAAGATGTACCCCTTGCCAACTCCAGTTCCTTTTGGGCCTTATTCTTCCTGACCCATCCCTACACAGCCCAGCAGCACCTCTGCTCTCCACCCAGGGTACCTGTGGACTGCCTGCACATTTCCTTATTGCTGTCCAGTTTGACCGGCAGGTTCTGGTTCAGCCATGCCATTCTCTCGCCTTCCTTTATTTAAAGCTCCACCAGTTCTGCTCCACGCCCTTGTCCTTGACAGATTTCCAGGGGGTTCTGTTGACTAATTACCTGAAAAGCTGGAATTTGGCTTTCTTAAAATTAAACTTCCTGATTTTACCCTTTGCCTGTCCAATATCCCTTAAGAGTGTGAACTCCACCACTGTATGGTCACTACAGCCCCTGCAGCCTTCAATCTTGATGTCACCCATCAGTTCACTCATGTTGGTGAGCAGCAGGTCCTGCATTGCATCCCCCCTGGTTGGGCTGTTACGTGGCTCAGGAAGTTGTCCTCAATACGTTCCAGGAGCATTGTGGATCACTCACAGCTCACTGTGCTACGTTCCCAGCAGAGTCAGGGTGGTTGAAGTCTCCCAACAGGGCGACAGCCTGCAAACACGACGCCTGCTGAAGCTGGAGGAGGAAGGCTTCACCAACAGGCTCCACTTGATCAGGCATCCTGCTGTGGACCCCCAAACCACAAGTCTCCCTTTGTTGCTTCTGTCTCTGTCACCCACAGGCTTTCCACTTGCTCGTGGTCGTTCTTAAGGGACAGCTCTTCACACTCTATTCCTCCCTTGATGTAAAGGGCAGCACTTTCTCCCCTCCTTCCTCACCAGTCTCTTCTGAGCAGCTTGCAGCCATCAGTCATGGGAATCATCCCAGTGGGTTTTGGTGACAGCAACTACATCATGGTTTTCCAGTAGCACGGTGGCTTCCAACTCCTGCTGTTTATTTCCCAAGCTGTGTGTGTTGGTGTAGAGATACTTCAGCTGGGCAGCTGGTCTTGTCATCTTCCTGGAGGATAAATCCTTAATTCTTTTGAAGTATTTACCATTAGTCTTCCTGTTGCCTTCATCATCATAAGGTTTCAAGTGTGCAGCAGGGTTAGAGCCCCCACTACCACCTAACTCTGTCCCTCTAACTCAGCTATGCTGTTCTACTCCTTGTTATCTTCCCTTGCAAACCCATTGTAAAGCTCTTGCAGCCACCATGCAGCAGCAGATGGTTTTGCACTGTCTGCTGTTGTTAATTGTCAGGTAACTTTATCCAAATATATCTACAGCTAATAAATAGAATCTTAGAATTAACCCCTTAAATACTTTAACCAGGGTAGGGGGAGAACTGGTTCATTAGTTAAAAGATGAAGCCAAATCCATATTTTTATAAAGAACTGTTAAAGGGGAACAACCTAACACAGGTCCTTCGCTACCCTGAAAAATCTGAGAGTGTGATCCCAGTGACTCAGTGCTGAGCCAAGGAAAAGCAGATTGAAATCTGTAAAAGAATTCAGTAAACCATATGAACAGCAAAGGGCAAAACACTCTCTTAGTTAATATTTTCCGTCTTATGGATTCTAGGAATACATAAAACTGAGAGGAGGGAATAAAGTCATGAAATGGAGCAGCACGTTGCTTGAACTCTCATCAAGACAAATTAGGAAATAAAGCAGGAGCTGAAAAAATTTCTACCTTCCACATCCCTGTGTGTCACTGCTCTCCTAACCAGGCACACATACATCAGGAAGCTGTGGAATGTCATTGCTGCTACTTGCTCCTCAACCCTAACACATCAGGTGGTCACCCAACTATTCAGCAGGGGCCTCTTCCACAGGACCCCCTTCTGCCACAGCCGTTGGCACGGAAACTAGCACTTGCTTGCATGTAAAACAATAGCAGAAACGCTTGATTAAAAAATATTTTATTAGGAGTACAGTGTACCTGCAATGTACTTTATAAGGCATTTTCTATAAATGGCTATTTCTACTATATATATATCTGGGTGTCCTGCTCATATTTTTCAATACATTAGTAATGTAATGAATAACACCTTTTAAAAAAAAAAAACCTACATCTCTTTATTTAGTACATAAATGTTCAAGCAGTACAACAAGTAGCTTTGAGAGAGGTTTTAATTGCCGTAAAGCAGTTTTAAAAGTTCAGTTATCACTATTTCCCCTTTTTCCCCAATGAGCAATGTTTTAAAGCATTCCTTCTTAATAAACCAAATCTGACCGATGACGCCATTATGACCGCTTATTTTTCTCATTTCACTTACTGTCCCAGACCTTCCTGCAATGTACATACGTCTCATTTTTGAACCACTCAGTCTCTGAAAACAGCACTTCTACGGTATGCCACAGCAACGGAGACCAGTTTCATGTTTCTCCACATACACGTGTACCTGCCTGCTTTCATTAGAGGAACACAAACCACTGCCTCACTAACCACTGCAGCACTTCTAACTCCATAGCCACGGGCCGACCTTACTGAAGGTTTTGCTGGAGGTGAAACTTGCATTTGGAAACAAATATGGAAAAAAACACAAACTCTATCATTCAAAGATCCACACACAATTACACTCAGTATTTGGGCAGGAGTATGGGCTGTTTGTACGTGTAAGGAGAAAGCACTTCAAGTTTCCTGGTTATTAAAACCTGTGGGGACTTTTTTATAATTTATGATGGGGGAAACATGGCAGATTTACCTGGGCAGATAGCTTATGGCACTTACGTTACAAGACCAGTGAATATTTAAAAACTAACACATACTGCATTCCATGACCAACTTTTACCATAACTGTGCCTTAAACATTTATTACAACATTGTGATAAATAATATACACACCGTATCTCTTAAAATACCTTAGAAACCATACCTCAAGAATAGGGAGCCAGCTTCCCTATACATTATCCTACACCGTGTCCCTACCCTGTGGTTTTTTTTTTTTCCAATCTAAAGACAAATCTGTAAAACTGGATAACTACAGTAAGCAGCCTACGCTATTACACAATTAATGCAGTATTGGCATTAGACTTGCATAAATCTTACACGCCAGCAAACTTGTGTAAGTGACAGGCATACCATACATTCTCATCTTTGAGCTTGCTTGGGGCATTCGCAAGGGTGCTTGGTGCTGGGTCTCTTCACCAGGTCCCCATCACATCTACCATTTCCCAGGAATTGATGTTCCACACTCATACCAGCGCACGTAGTTGATGTGAGTCTCCCCACCTATTTTTCCAAACTTGACAGGTTCCTGACGAACTGCCCTGAAAAATCCTAGAACAGAGAATGGAGTTTGTTTGCAGGAAGCCATTAGAAAGTACCTTCTTCTGAGCTCCCATGGAGCTTGCATATGATCCCATTAATGGCTAACAATACACCACAGCTATCATTCCTTTCCTGCATTTCAGGTGAAACATACACACCATTAACTCTGGTTTGAATTGTCTTGCCACAACCAGGGAGGAACAGAGCAGCAATGTACGCCTGCTCTTTCCTCTGTTCCTGTCATGTACTAGAAAAACGAGTTGCAGGTTGGTCTTTCACTTTCTTTTTTGTTGGTGGATTGTATTTGTATTTGTTTAGGTTTTCAAGCTAAAAATGAATGCAGTTTATGAATCCAGCCAGCTAAATCCAGTAGCTGGAAACAGATTGGCTTTACCTACCTCATAAGCTTATTTCACATTTATAAAATCTTCTTTAATAAGTGAATCTGATACAATTGAGAGGGCAGCTGTCCTGGCAATGCTGAACTGGACTCAGACAATTCCTTATTCAAACAAAACTCCTTTACAAGTGTGGAACACTGACTGAGGGAGAAGTAAAGCCTAACCCTCACCCTAACCTACACCTACCACAATGCATTCATGCACTTTGGCGAGACGTTTTACAAACAAAGCACTAAATACGTGAAGGTCTGGTCAATACCATCTTGAAAGCTATTCTGACTTTTTTTCTCATCAAAATGCTCCATTACTCATTCGGCACGCACACCTGTATCAATACAGACGATGTTCTTACAAGAGGGTGGAACGCATTGCAGTGGTAATGCTGCAAACAAGCAAGGAGGAGGCTCAGCTGACAGAACTTGCTTACACTTGAGCCTGGGGAACGTTAAAAAATAGGCAGGGCTGCCTGTAGTACATCCACACCCCGTCCCCTTAGACCAGACCAGCATTTTGGGCACCCACCTTGAATTAGTGTATTCAGAATTACTGCAGCATGAATTATATTTTCCAGTAATAACTCTTTAGTTTCTCATTAGCACTAAACAGAGCTGTTTGATGCTCAAGTGATGATTTATGACATTTAACATTAACCTTACTAGTTTCAGCATAACACTTCATGCCGCTATGCAAACTGAAAACTGCAGTTGTGTTTAAATATGCAATACCAAGTGTGAATAACCTGTTGGAATGTTTTAAACAGGAGGGAGGCTGTTTACTACCTCACAGAACCTGACCCATAATGGTCTTTATTAAGTAAGTCATGGCTCATCTTAGAATGATAGAATCACAGAACAACTCGGGTTGGAAGTGACCTTAAAGTCCACACAGTTCCAACCTCCCTGCTGTAGGCAGGGCTGCCACTCACCAGCTCAGGCTGCCCCATCCAGCCTGGCCTTGAATGCCTCCAGGGATAGAGCACCCACAGCTTCTCAGGGCAGCCTGTGCCACGGCCTCACCACACTCTCAATGAAAAATTTCCCCATGACATCTAATCCATATCTCTACTCTTATAGTTTAAAACCATTCTCCCTTGTCCTTCCCAGGTAAAAAGTTGATTTCCCTCCTGCTGATAAGCTCCTTTTAAGTACTGGAAGGTCACAATGAGGCCTTCCCAAAGCATTCTCTTCCCCAGACTGAACAAGCCCTGCTCCCTCAGCCTGTCTTTGCAGGAGAGGTGCTCCAGCCCTCTGATCATTTTCGTGGGCCTCTTCAGTACAGGAGTCTAACAGCTCCACATCTTTCTTATGCCTGGTGCCCCAGACCTGGATGCAGTACTCCAGCTGGGACCTCATGAGGACAGAGGAGAGAGGGACAATCCTCTCCCTCGCCATGCAGCCCAGGATACAGTTGGTCTTCTAGGCTGCAAGAGCACGCTGCTGGCTCATGTAAAGTTTTTTAACCACAATTTTTAATCACAATTTTCATCTTCAGCAATTTCTCATCTCTTCTGCCTGCAGAGCCGACAGCCCTTGTTCATTGCCCACCCTGGCAGTGGGCCCTCAGTTTACTGGCAAGAAAAAGAAACAGACAAACAAAGGAACTGCCAAGGACTGTTGCAGTGACATTCTTAAAGAATTACCGTCTTTGACTGGTAGATCATCTTGCTGTCCTGTCCTTCCATCTAAGAACGAGTCTACAAATTGGCAGTGATCTTCTCCATGGCCCCTCTGGTCTCCTATGTTATAGAATTTTCCTGAAAGGAAATAAGCAGCAAAGTTGAAAATTCATGTCCCGTTTAGTGAAGGCTGAAGCCACCCACCAGAGATTGATACTCTTAGCTCTGTAGGGAAGCCAAAGCGAATGCAACCATTCTTTACCTCTCAGGATCTGCTGCTGTAATTAGAGCATTAAGTGCGTAGTGCAAGCGCAGCACTCATGGCTGTTGACAGCAGCACCCCACTCTGCCAAAATCCATGCCTGGACATACTTTTCCCCTCCTTAACTTTCATACAGTAAGCAAAATTCTGTTACTACCTAGAACCTCATTCTGATTGTATAAAAAAATGAGATAAGTTTTGCTAGCAATGTTAATAGAAGGTTCCCTGTTGGGAAGTCCTGAGAATATTTGAAGAAGTCTTTTTTGCCCACCTCATGACACATGCAAACCCTGTTCTAAAACTTTACAGCTTGTACGAGCAAGTGATATCCCTTAACTCATACATGATCCCGGTGTAGTAAATACTTATTCAGAACGTGAAATGGACCCATATAGTCCCTTGCAGGGCTGTTTAACAGGACCCTTGACTGTGACTGAGCAGAAAAGAAGATCGTAAGTACCAAACAGTGTGTGCTGACATTACAGGCTGTCCTTAACCCGTTGAGGACTCCCAGTGAAGGAATTTTGACAGTGGTTTTTACTTATTGATATGATTTGCAAGAAGATTTGCAAAGTTCTGTTCAAAAGATGGAGGAAAACGTGTCGTCTTCACTTCCAAGGCCTAGACAGGAAACATCTTCAGATAAGATCAGCATTTTGTCTGATCTTTCACAGCATTTCGTGACACATCCAGCTTCAGGCTGTGACTATTAAAGCAAAGGTGACAACTAAGGCTCAGTGCTTGGGTATAAGCTAAGCACAATGTCCAGTTGTTCATTAGATGTTGGGTCTCCTGTGGCCCTGAATCTGTGCCCACCTGGCTGTGTGACAGGTGGTGAGGTAGCTCATACTACTCCCTAAAGTTCAATTAATAACTAGCAGCCTACCAATAAATTCACTCTTTCTCGTGTTTCTGTGGTCTGATCAATACTTTGCCAAAAATTCTCGCCTCCACTTGACGGTCTAGGTTTAGAAAATAATTTATTACTGTCTAGCTTTGGCTGCAAGCATATTTTTTCCCACGTGAGAATTGGTCAGTGGGAGTTCCTCTTGGTAAATTTTGGAGCTGAAGTTGAGAACATTCAGGCTGCCCAAAACTGCATGGTTGTTTTTCTTGTTTTGCCTTTTCTTTCCGTGGCTGTTGAACATCACACATAGAATTTATCCTTTTCTCATGCCCAATAAATGCTTTTTTTTAGGTGGCCTGATTTTCTGGAATGCTTACTGTGACTGCTCTGGAGTACTGTTAAATGAGATCAGCAGTAGATGGTGCTTTATAGAACAGTTCTGGCATGTGTAACATGGATCAGCTTTTCTTCAGTAGGGACAGAATAAAGCAGATACCTTACGGCTAACAAAAGAACAGTAACTTTCAGATACACACGGTCTTCTAGTCCACATCATAACTCATGCACAATTCAAGTAACTGCCATACATCGCTCAACAGCATTCTTGGTGACTATGAATTAAATTCATACAGTCCAATTCCTCGATAAAGGAACACTCTTTAAACATTTTGCTAACAAAAAACTGCTAGACTTGTCTTTCGCTTTTGGGGATAGTAATTCTGGCATAATTTTTTTCTCAGAGCTCCCTTGTGATGCTCTTAAGAAAATTAAATACTATTTTGATTCTACACATTGTGATTTCTGCAACAATAGAAGTACAAATTCATGCTAAAAACAAGCGTGCAGAGGTTCAGTTTTTGGTGGCCTTATGCAATGGTGTGTCCACAATGCACCCAAATATCAAGATCATTTTGCTGCTTCAACAGCAAAGCTTTGGGAGATACTTTCAGCATAACGTTGAATAAAGACCTTTTGCTCCTGGCACACTGCAGAGCTGGCAGTTCTAGCAGATACACTTCTCCTGGGCTTGGAAACATGACAGGACAGGGTATGACAGTAAAAAGCAGAGTTTGGCTTCAGATTGGAAATTATCCCACTGAAATACGGAGGCCATGCCATGACAGCCTCACCTAGGAGATAGGTGGGAAAAAAATCACAGAACAGCTTTCCTCCTACATAAATATTTCAGTTCCTTCAAATATTGTGACAAGTGGTCAACACTGTTCATAAGAATTCAAGTGCAAGAACCAAGCTTAGCAAGTATAATGAATACAATGTGGCTGTCATGGTCTTTCCCCAGCCAAGTTAAATCGCCATCCTTCCAGCAAGAACAAAACCAATCTAACAAAAATAGGAAAATGGGCTCCTGACATGTTACACTTTTATTCTAAGATTGAAGTAGCTTTCATTGCAGTGTTAATTCTCTTGATTTAGAGCTATAGCGTAGTCCTGCTAAATTAGCACTGCCATTTCCTCTATTGGCTGGTTGTGTGATACACTATGCCTCATTGCCAGCTTCTGTCATTTGATCACAGCTGGTTAGTGCAGCAACAGCTGAATGAAAGATACCTCTGTTCAAAATCATCTTTTTATTCACATAATTGCCAAGGTATTACTTACGCATGAGGTACTGTACTTAGTATAAATGACTGGGCTTTCCTTCTTTGTCTGCTCATGGGGAAACAGTGATGGCAGCTTAATGTTACTTTGGCACAGGCTGTCTTATGGTTCCTGTTCCCCTTTTCATTCCCTGTTACCACACACAGAGACCACTGAGCCATGCTGTTGTGAGTTGCTGAGCTCACAGATAGGGCAGTGTTAGGTTATGGAGGATGATCCAATCAGTCTCTCCTAGCTAACTCAGTTCAACATGATAAACATACTGTCTGCCTAACTTACACCCTGAGACATTAGCCATGTATGGGTTTTTTACATTCTTTGTGCTCTGGATCTTATACTAAAGCCATAATAATGGAGACATTAAGAAAAGACTTCATACAGAAGGAAACCAGGAACTTTGAAAGGATTATTAATTAAAATATCTCCAGATACACCTTTTGCAATCTCCATGAGAAACAAAGTTCTGCTTAACTATCAATCAAATGAAAACCAATACTACAGACTTCTTCTCTAGTTCAGACACTGGACATGTCACTTGATTCAGGTCTGAACTACCTCATTTGCTAATGACTGTGGGACACTGAATAGAACCTGAGAAACTAAGGACAGGAGGCTGCTGTTAGTAATAAAGCATAACATCAGAAGAAGGAGGATGACAACAAGAGATCAAAAACAAAAATGGGCAATGTGAAAACAAAAATGTCAAAGCAGGTGAGAGAAATTTGTCCACTAGAGTTGAAGTAATGTACTTATAAGTCCCATAGTAATAAAAGAACAAGAAGTTTATGAAATGGAATGGGAATGAACGCACTCTAACCCTGATCTAAAATTAGGCCCTGATCCTCTACTAAGAACTGTTACAGGTTATGATTTAAACACAGATTTAGTGCCATTATAGCATAAGCTAATGACTGTCAGACATCTGTTATTTATTAGTTTTCTGTAAGATCCCCCAGGATACCAACAGGTGCTGTAAATCAGACAATGATTGTGGAGAAGTAACACTTGAGTCTGAAAACTCAATAGCAAACAATGACTACTGAGCACAAGCAGACTATTATTTATGATCAATCTGTCTAGGGACTACATTAATCATACTTAATCACACTTCAACAGTGCCCATCTTGTTAAGCCTCTTAGTTCTTCGTATTTTTGAAGGGTTTATAATGTGAACAACACTGATTTATCTTACCTGTAAGTGAATCGCTGAGGTATATCTTGTATCTTAACGAATTACACAGCTGCACACCTACAAACTTCTTATACCAGGTCCTTTTCACATACTGTTTCCCTCTGCATTCTGAGTAAGAGTCAGAATTGAATGGGATTTCAGTCCAGATAGCATCCTTTCCCACTGCATGAGAGAAATAAAGATACTAAAGTACGGCAGTTTGTATAAAATCATATATGACAAATATATTCTAGTAAATAGAAATCTTGATGGAGCAGAAAGCACTTTGAAATATTCTAGTATCACCTGTCACCTGCATTTTGAGCATGAAAGCTATGTCAGGGAAGCACTGAGTGCTCAGCTATGACTGATGCAGTGAACTGCTTCTGCTTTCTGTGTCAGAGAAGCCAGTTGGGAGCTCTCACTTATTAAGGGAACTCTGTCCTTCTGTTGCCAAAATTTCATTTACAATGTATGTGATGCAGTCATTGTTTCTATGTGGAATCAAGACAGGAAGGTCAACTTGCAGCAAAACGTGTGATTAAAAAAATACATAAAAGTGTCATGAATCACGTGACAAAAAAAATAAATGCTGTCAATTTTGTCAGTGTTGTCCATCACAAATGCAGAAAGAGCTCAGTTTGCATGAACGGGTCTCTGTTCTTCAAAAGCTCAGTCCACCTCCTGCTGAAGACAGCAAGTCTTACAAGTGGCGTAAAGTGGAGGTGGAGCAGCCCTTCAGAAGCAGGAATTTTTTAAAAAACATAATGGCAGATAAATAATATCCTCCAAGCTGTGTTCTGTTAAGTCACTTAAAAAGTGTGAAATAGCTTATTCATTTTGAAGAGTCTTTCCTTTGAATTAATGACAAAACTGAGAAAATATGAGGCCTTCTTTGGCTCATCTGTGTACATTGGTTTGAAGCCATCCCAGCTGCCATGGGAGCATCACATCACACTGATTGCATTCTGCTCAGGTAAACAAGCAGCCTGGCATGTATTCTGGACAAGGAATATGGATGGAAAGAATTAATTCAAGTGCAAAAGCTATTCGATTCCATAGCTCATTTAACTGGTACAGTACAGAAACTCCACCACCACCATCCCCCTTAAAATTACACTATTTCTGAAAAAATTCCTGATCAGAAGACAGAATAATTTATACAAGGCTTACTTGAAATAGGCTCACTCACTCTTGGGTCCGCTGTGGAAATAAGACAAACATTCAATCAGACATTGTAAAATTAGCATTCCCATTATACCAATGGAAAAGCATTGTCAAGTGATTTTCTACTGTTGACACAGGCTGCATGTGGTGAAATAGAAAGTGTTTTGGAAGCAAAGTTTACTTTCATATTGAATTTAAAAAAGAAATGTCACTGTGTGAAACTACAGCATCAATGTTCTTTTGTTCTTTTAAAAATTTTACTTATGGGACTTTGTGTTCAAACCAGGTTCTAGTGAAAACAGGAATTTAAACCTGTAAAATCCAATTCTACTGCACTTCTTTTTTTATTTTTTTATTTTTAATTTCAGTTTGTATACTGAAATAAAAGAAAAAAAAACACTTCTGTTACAGTTGCTACTTAAGACTTGGCTATGATCTCCCAAAATGTGAGAAATGGATGTGTGCAATTAAGACAAAATAAAATGTAATGCTTCATTTGGCCAAGCTAAATAGGAGACAGAACATAAGCCTTGTCATTTGTGAAAACTGCACCTGGCATAAACATTAATTCAGTTTTGACAATCTAGGACTACAAGGAGTGTATTCACAGTTTTAAATACGTGCGGCTTAGTCTGAGATCCTCCCTGCCTAATCCCTTGCTCAACTGAAACTCTCATCCATCAGTGAGCATTAGACCAGGACTATTATGTTATTACACCTGGCTCAAAATACAGATTAAGAAAGTCCTTTCAAAGAGGTTGAACCCATTTTTTTATTTATATGGTCCTTAAATACTATCAAACAGAAACTACTTCTACACAGAAGAAGACACCTAGCTTGCACAGAATCATTTAATGTCTACTGGAGTTAGCCTCACTGGGAGTTGAAATACAGAAAACAAGACAATCTCTGATTCTCACCTTTAAGTCAGACAAGAGTGAAGCTTGAGAATGAGACAGTGTTCAAAACGGACTTGTGTATACCTCTTCAGTGTTTTCACAAGAGAGTAAACAGGGTGGAAGAAGACATACTGGAACACCAACTGTTCCAACTACTACTGCTTGATCATTTTTTCAGCCTTAAGATATCATTATTTATGACACAACAGCATTTTGAACAGGTAGCAAGTTGTGTATAAACACAGTAGCCCAAAGGAAAACTTTATGTCCCCATTTAGAACATACTAATGAGTTTGATAACTATAAAAACACCATGAACATTGATCTTAAAACACTGAACATTCTTTAAAGTTTGTTTCTTCACGGGAAACACCAGAAGATCTCTGTGTTCCTGCCTTTTTCTCTTCAGTATGACCATCTTATGCCCTCACCTCCTAGCCACTACTAATGCTGAGTAGTAATAAGCCAATCTGGAGATCAGAAAGAACAAGATCAAACTTACAAAATGAAGTAAGAGAACCTTTCATCTATCTCAAACAAATAGATTAAAGTTGGTTCACAAACATGGATAATAAAATTACAGTCAAACCTTTGGAAGTCTGTACCTGATTCAGTACTGAAAGCCACAACATTGCTACTCGGACCTTCACCAAGGGGGTTTCTAGGTTTCACATGGAATTCGTAACTGGAGAATAAAAAAAGCATCTGAATTAAAATTTTGCCTACCAACCGTTTTCTCATATTCTGGAGCAAGCAAACTGCCAACATACACCTTGGTGCTATTCATTTCTTAGGGAACCCAAGGGCGTTGTTTCTTGCTTAGAAAACACTGAAGTGTTCTTTGTCCTAACTGTTCAAAGCCTCTCTGAACATGCATTTTACCAACCCTTTCCATAATTCTTTGCACAAATATTATTAATGTTTGATTTAATGCACCACTGGTTTAAGTCTCCTCTAGCATGTGCAGTTTCAGTTCTGGCAAAAGGAGCAGTTTAAGTGAGGTCAGAAACAATTTCATAGGGAGAGATTGAGTAAAGTACACTTCTATATATTTGCTCATTTTTAATTCATAAGAACACAAATCCAATGCAATATCTCCCAGTCTCACCACCTCCAACAGATAAGGCCATTGTTGAAATGCAAGGTGAGGATCCGGTCACTTAAATACATGTCAACAACAAATATAGGAAATAATAGGAACATATTGTGCAGCGTCACCTTAAATTTTCACAGTATCACCTTGAAAAACCAGTCTATACTGCAGTTATCTCATGATTTCTCTTCCACATAGCTCTGCTGGGAACCAACCAAATGCTAATTCAGCAACTCAGCTGACATTCAGTGAGATGCTGTGGGTAAACAGTGATTCAAAGTTAGCCACAAGACTAAAAATGATGCACAGAAGACACCAGCCAGATGAGGCAGGAAAGAGGGCTACAGAGTGGAGACTAGACATGGCTACGATCTTACCTCTCTGGGCTGCAGGCTGGCAGAACCAGGGAATTTCTCACTGCTCAGCAGCAGCTCAGTTTCGCACCCAGTACCTGTGCTTACCTCTAGGAGCTCTGTGCCAAAGAACTGTGATCAGAAGCGTGTCTACACCAGTCAAAAGCAACCTCCTCATGCCTTCCCCTTGACTTACAAGCCATAATCTACCCTGTGCATGTCAGTCAGTAACAGATATTTTTCATATGCTCTGGGTGCTTGCATAGTGAACTTCTCTTAATAAATAACAATTTTTTTTTATCAGCTAGAGAGATGCACAAGACACAATGGGCTTAATAGACTAATGGCCCTAATAGACTAAACACAGAACAAAATGAGAATCCCAGAATTGGGATTGAGCTTCTGGTGTGATAGAGTTTACAGATCTGACTGTAAATTTAAAGCCATGGTGTGTCTCTTCATAGAAAACCAAATGAAATCTCCCTTTTTGCGCATCAGGTGGAAGATCGGAAAAGTTGGAGAGGGACTCGTTATCAGGGATGTACTGATAGGATAAGGGGTAATGGTTTTGAACTAAAAGAGGTTGGAACCTGATTAGACATTAGGAAGAAATAATTAGCTCAGAGGGTAGTGTGGCCCTGCAGCTGACAGCCCAAAGAAGTTGTGGATGCCTCATTCCTGGAAGTGCACAAGGCCAGGCTGAACGGGGCTCTTGTCTGTCCAATCTAGTGGGAGACGTCCCTGCCCATGGCAGAGGGATTGGAACTACTCAATTTTTAATGTCCCTTCCAAACTAAGCTATTCTAAGATTCTATGAATATAAAAATGTGTAAAAATATGGGTGCTTACTTGCTGCAATTGTATGCATTTCAGCACAAGCTACAAGTCTGGGGAGAATTACTTACAGGTTCAAGAAGGTATGTAGGGCAAAGTTAAGAAAGGCAAATAGGAAAGCTGTATAATGATTATCCCATGCCTACATCATAGCCAGATTTGATATTCATGAGAAACTGCAGGCTTTATTCCATCTTTATATCTGTGCACCCGTGATGCCAAATATTTTGCTACCTAATATACGTAGCAACCTAGCTCTCTCACACCTCTAACCTCTTTAAGACTGATGTCTTAGACACTTGGGAGAGAACTAGGCCTCCCAAATCCTTCCAAACTGCACAAGACAATAAAAGTCATTGTACAGATTAAATGGACTTGACTCAACAGTAATTACTGTGCAGAGCACATTTTTCCACCATAGGAAATCACTATTCCACATGGAACCTTGGCAGATGTAACTGTTCCTGCATTTTTCAAATCATGCAAAAGGAGAAGATGGAAGACTGCAGAACAGAGAATATCTGAAGAAAGGTTTTCATCATAATGCTGAGGATTGGAGGAGTTGGGTCCAGTCCTGGGATATAAGGTCAACAGGTTGTGAGGTGCCTGTGGTTAAATAACAATCATGCAGGACTGTTTCAATGTACTGAGCTTCTCTTTCTCTGGAGAACGTGCTGTGAGTTGCTGTGTCACCACACATAACAAACAAAACTAGGTTAACAGCAGGAAACATTTCCTTCAGCAAATGATGCTTAGCTTCTTTGAGGAGTTTCTCTCTTAACCAGGCTAGGAGAAGGGCCAAGAGAAAAGAGAAGTGCTTACAAGTGACTGTGGCATCAACAGAAATTTAGTAAAAAAAATTGTCAGTTTTGTGATAAATAGTACAAAAAAAAAAACCTCAAGGCTTTTTCTGTAGGGTTTTTTTTTTTTTTTTTTTTTCCCTATTACCTTCAAATTCCTATCCTAACAGCATTGCAGGTTTCACTGTAGTTCTCATCTTTTGACCCTTGCTGTTAACAAAAACTTATCTATATGCATCAGGAAATTTTTCTCTTCTATGTCGTTAGCACCTTTTGGCTAAGTGCAATACCACCTAGATAATGATAATGACATGAGCAGGTGGTATGGATATTACTATAAACTTTCAAAAAGGTTCTGGCTTCCAGTTGGGATTATTTAGCCTAGAGAAGATAAGGCTCTGTGCAGACCTTACAATGGAGGCTTTTCAATATTATAATGGAGGCCTTCCAAGGTGGAGGCCTTCCAATATTTAGAGGGGGAAAACTAGGGGAGGGATTTGTTATGAGACAGTGCAGTGACTGAACAAAGGGTAATGATTTAAACTCATTATTTAGATTGAGATTACTATTAAGAAGAAATTCTTAAACACGAGGATGGTGTGGCACTGAAGCAGGTTGCCCAGAGAAGTGGTCATCCGTGGAAGTGTTGGATGGGGCTTTGGGCAAACCTGGTTGAGTGGGTGGTATCTCTGCCCAGAGCAGGCGGCTGGAGCCAGATGATGTATCGGATCCCTTCTAACCTAAAACATTCTATGATTCTACTGTTCAGTAGAGGTATGAAGACTTACTCGGCATGGCCTTTGAGTAAATTAATTGTGACTTTTTTTTTGTTTGTTTCATACCTTTAAACATGAAACAAACAAACAAACAAACAAAAAACCCCAGAACAGTATATCCTATATATATGCTACACATTTTATCTTTACTTCATGGTCTTTGTTTTCTCTCTCTCTCTTTTTTTTTTTTTTTTTTGTGTGTGTGTGTTCTTATATGTATTTATTTTTATTAGGTTTTATTTCTGCATTTATATTTCCTCAAGAAACATTATGGTTGGAAACATACTTTACTTTACCTAGGGATATAATCTAAACCAAAAGTCCAAAAAGACCCCTCCAAATGTACTTAAAAAGGAGAAAAGTATATTTGAAATTATCAAACTACTCAACCAGAGAAAAGATCAGAACCTTTTCCTGTGGAATGCAAGCATCACAGCCTTTTTGTTTATTAATAATATTTTTTGGAATAAAATCTATCACCAATAGACTGAGGGGACACACCCCCTATTTTAATGACTATCTGAATTTCCCTAGGGTTACTTTGGCACATCTCTGACTAACACAGCAGAACTGCAGTCTTCATATTTTCCTTTATTACCTTCCAATTACTGCCAATACAAACATGCATGAGAACTTGTTTTCAACAATACTCAGACTCTTTTTTGAAAGCTTGTATAGTAATTAGTTCTGCAAAGTTTCCTGGACACTAGTGACATATTCTATGAACCTAGCTGCCCTTAAACAAACCCCCAGAATGAAAGAAAAAATATACACTTAATTTAAAAAAAAATATTTCAAGATAGGGCAAAGATAAACAAAAATGACATATTTTGGCAGGAGAACCATCAGAAACAGGAAAGTAAAAATGAAACCAGATCGGATGATATGGAGACTTAGAAAAATTAGATCAATTTTAAGCAGTTAAAAAACTGTTAAAAAAATATAAAGGCAAAATTCCTTTGGAAATGAGAAAGTAAAAGCAAAAAAGAAAAACAACCTACCAACCAACCAACCAACAAACAAAACAAAACAAAACAAAAAAACCCAAAACAAACCAAACCAAACCAAACCCAAAAAAACCCAAACAAACCAAAACCCAAACAAAAACCCCAACATCTGTTTTTAATATTTTAGGTTAGGAAAGATCCATTTAAAAGTAAAGCTGATCTTAATGATGGAGATAATGGAGTTGAACACCATCATTACTATGCATGAGACAAAATGAAGGAATCAAGAATCATACTAAGCCCATTTCTATGTCAGGTCCCTCTAGGCTGATTACAAGCAAACATCTCAATTAAGGAAATGCTGAAAAATCTGAATAATTAGCTTACTTTGCTAGATGCTCACTTGGCAGATCTTGCTTGACTATTATCATAGGAGAAATTACTGCAGTACTTTCTTTGTTTAAGGGCAGTGTAAAATTAAGACAGACAAAAAGCACAAAGAATGGGCTTCTGGGTATGCCAGTGAAAATAAGAGTTCCTGTGGGGGCAGTCTTATAAACAAACTCAAATATATGAGATCTGTATGATAAGTTAGATGGAATGTTACAGGTCTCCTCAAATGACTGCTTGGAAAATAGACTGAAATTGTTTTGACCAAAATGATAAATCTTGTGGTTTGGCTTTGGATGTTTTCCAAGTAAAGTAGATGGTGCACTTCTCAAAAACCTGCTCTCAGCATAAAAACTGTGAATTTTCCATTTGGGGGGCAAATATTAAGCTGACAACATAGTTCATACTAGAACATTCTTTTCTCTCTTTTCTTTGCTAAGAAATAATTGATAACATACAAAACATACAAAAATATCTCAGCCTGCATTAAAGAATATGAGCAAAGTTAAGATTAATAAGATCAGAAATTACTCGCATAAGAAGAAATCGTACAACAATTCAGGTTGGAATGGAGGTCTGAAGGTCTATCTGATCCAGGCCTCTTTTCATTACAGAGCCAACTTAAAAGCTACGTGAGGTTGCTCAGAGGTTCACAAACAAGCTCACAGTTACTCAATGCTTGAATGAACTAGAAGAAAGAAGGATGAATGGAGTTGAGCTATTTAGCTTTGTTTAATGAGAAGGACTAATTGAGGGATAAAGATAGTAAAAGCTGCAGAAAATTTCGTGTGGGATGTGTGACAACAAACAGAGGGATGACTGAAATGTGATCTGAATCTATTCTAGAATTCTTGAAAATAATGTGAAAGATAATAATAGCTACCTTCAGTATAAAGTTGTACATGTGATTATTAGCTCACAGGAGCACATCTATAACAGAAATTCTTAAGCAGAAGACATTTGTAAAACAAGAGAAAGATTTCATCTTCGAGCACAATTAGATGAAGTGGGCCTGTAGGAAAGCTGGAGAGGGACTTTTGATAATGGCATGCAGTAACATGACAAGGATAAATGGTTTTGAACTGGAAGAGGGTAGATTTAGACTAGATATTAGAAAGAAATTCTTTACTGTGAAGGTGGTGAGACACTGACACTGGAACAGGTTGCCCAGTGAGGCTGTGGATGCCCCTATCCTGGAAGCATTCAAGGCCAGGCTAGATGGAGCTTTGAGAACCTGATCTAGAGGGAAGTGTCCCTGCCTATAGCAGAGTATTGGAACTAGATGATCTAAAAGGTCTCTTCCAACCCAAACCATTCTATGATTTTATGATTCCATGGTAACTCTCTGTGTAAGAATTATCCATAGTCTTTTAGCTTGCATTATGTACAACTTTTGAGATATTTCAGGTAAAAGCAAAAGATTTGATGAAACTAAACAGAAATCTAGATCCAGAGTATGTGGAGTCAGATAACAGCTTAATGCCAGGAGGAGTAGCAGTTTCAAGAACTCTGACCAACCATATTATGTAAATCACAATTAATACTTTCCAGGTCGCTAAGATAAACAGCAGCTTTCTAAGATGTGATAGTGAAATACCTCAAGCATTGTGTTTGGCAAATCTCCAGGTGAAAAAGACATACTTGTCCTATAAGGAAAACTCTTCAAAGAAATGCCACTGCTTTACTAAGAGAGAATGGAATAGATATAATGTCCCCTTTTTTTTCTGGAAAAATGTGCAGGAATCTTAATGCTCCAAGGAAATCAAACCATACAGGAGTTTGTAGAAGTCTTTTTTTTAACAAGCATTTGTGTGGGAAGCAAATGACTGTGCCTCAAATTTATTTAAAGGGCATATGTCCTCACATTCTGACAGATTTTTAATTTCTACTTTGATCTCAAGTCCAGATGTGTTGTGATCAAGTCACCAAAAAGGAATAAGGTTGGCATATAAGACAAACAGGAAATATGACAAACTTCCAGAAACTTCATTTATTTAGAAATAGCTCTCATAAGTTGCTGTTTGTCTATGAAGATTCATTTTCATTTCCATACTAAGATGGTATGAATGTCTGAAAAACAAGTAGCTGATAACCGCACTGCTAATGAGAACTCCATTTCTCTTTTGGCAAAACTATTTTTTCTGGATCTAGTCACTTTTCAGGTAAATGGCCATTATAATAATCCTCCTTTTCAGAGAAATTTGTATCCTGTTTAACTTCCACGTTTATAGTTACTGACAGCTGCAACCACACAAGCAATTTTTCAAGAGAGACTGACAGTCTCTCACTGCAACTGTCTTCCTAGCACAGTCCAAATTTCTTAAATACTCCAAGTCTGGCCATTATCTCCTCATCTGTAAAAGCTGTCTTCCTCAAGAGGGGTGCCTGGCTTACTGCAGAGCTTTCCAGAGGTAGCAGTATGATCTACTTGAAAGAAGAATGCAACAGAAAAAAGGAACAGCATGATCTGTCAGGCACAGATACACTCAGTTTTTCACAGCTGCCTGCTCTGTCCCCTTTGCACTGATGATTTGTTCATGCTGCTTCGGTCCTCCTGGATGTGGACAGTTAATTCTTCAGCTTCTGGCCAGGCATTAGCATATCCTATCTGTTTTACCTCAACAGGACAAGGGGGGGCTACAGACCATTTTGTCATGTAAAGCTCCTCAAGACTAAACATCTGGAGAATTACAGGCTTGAACTGTAGTTCTGCTGCCATAGGAAGCTTCTGGTTAAAATTTACTGACAGAAACTGAGATTCAACATTCACAGTCATTCTTATTCCTTTTGGCAGTTCTCAATTTAGATCTGCCCAGATTGGATCAATCTTGAACTTTTCTCAGCTCTGGAGGCACTGAATCTTCAGAGCTGCATATGGGATTCACACAGCATCACTGATGGCTTCAGGAAAGTTGGAAAAACTAGAATCTCAAATTCAGCTCGTCAGCTTCTCCAAAGTGTTTCAGGGCCAAGAGGTTCTTTCCTAGCTAATTCACTTTCTGCTACTGAGCATCTCTTTCCATATACTTGCTAGTAGTTTTGTAAATGTTGGTCCTTTGCAAGACAGATTTCTTTTTCTCCTCCAAGTTTTTTTTCCAGCTCCACCTCTTCTACAGCTCTTTCTTTTAAAGCTAGTTATGGAAAAATCCACTTCCTGGATTTAATGTATTACTTGATGAAATTGCAGACATTTCAGGGACTCTGTTAATTATTCAGTTGTGTTTCACTGTGTGTCTCTCCCTTCTATTTTCAGTCACCTTTACCCACCTGGCCATTTACATAATCAGTGAGCAATCAGCTCCTGACAAATAGGAAACCTTTGTTGTGGATATACGTTTTTCTTTGCAACACTGACACTGTCTACATGATGCCAGTCGTCTTCAATGACTTTCTTACTTTTCCTGAACTTAATGTGCCAACAAGCCTGGATTCAAACAGCAACAGTAATAACTTCTTGTCCTTTTGAGTCTTCAAAATTAGGAAACACACATTTTGAAACTGCAATTTAATCAAGCAGAACTGCACAGAGGACTTCACCTCCTTGAAATCCTGTGGGACTGAAGGGACTGAATCCAGAAATACTTGCTGCCTTTCTCTTTTGAGAGTGGGAATGGAGATTATAACCATCACCTCATCAGGGTGAAGGTACTCCTCTTTATCCTAAGACATCATCTGCCTGTTGGTGCTGATCTCATATTAAGTTTATTTTCACAAAATCCACACTACAAAAGACAGCTGGTCTCCATGGTCTCTGCTCTGCTCTTGCTCTCCACATCTTCTCATAGGTACTGGCAGAACTGTTACAAATTAAAGTTAAATAAACCAGCTTATCTATTTCCCACAATTCCTGTCCTCCTTATGACCTTTCCAAGAGTTCTAGCTGGTTCTGCCTGCCTCCATCTTGCATCCTTTCTGGAAAAAAAAATCAACCCAAAACAGTTGTCTGAAGATGGTTTTCAAGAATGGAACTGCCTCATTCCAAAGCAGAGATTAAAATAGAAGCGAAAGCACAAACAGCAGTGCCCAGTGTCTTTCTTTAGCTGCTAGTCCAGAGATCTTTTGCTTTGCTGTCTCATCTCAGCCTCCTCATTTGTTGATGAAATGGAGGAAACTAAGGCTTGGTCTCCAGCACCAGTTGTATTGCTGACATAAGTGACAGAACAACATATTGTCAATTCACCCTTTCACAAGCAGTCTGACTTTAGGAAATAACAGAATAATTTCCCTTAGGAAATGACAGAGATAATTGTGATTATCAGCATTCTAACCGTATTTTGAATTTTGGAGTCTCTCAAAGTTTTGTTGTTGCTGTTTTTTAATTTATTTATTGTTTGGTTTTGCTTAGCCTTTCTTTTCTACTTCCTTTCCTCTTCACTTTCTGCAACAGCTCCTTATTCCTCCTTCTGGAAGCTGCTGGTAAAAGTAGGTGAGCTGAAACCAGTGTGCCGGATTAATCCATGTCGCCTAAAAGTTAAAGTTTGTGATGGGTTCTGCACAGAATTTTGTGCTGTATTACAAATTTAATGATAGTAAGAGAAAAGGGGAGTGTATTTGTCGTGGAAAAATATGATTGCCATAGTCAAACGGTATTACAGAAAAAAACACTTGTTATTCACTAACTTTACAATGCAATAAATGAACAACAGAAACACAGGACACTGCTTTTCTCCCCCTCTCCCCAGACCATACATATTTTATCGGAAATTTCCTAAACGTTCCTCAGAACTGCATTATCTGTTAAAAGAAAGCAATATACGAGCACACCGTTTCCTATCAGAGCAGGATTAAAACCAATTTGCTCTAATACGTTATAAATATATGTATTATTTGAAGTAACTGTTCTTACTTTTATACATATAATACATTTTCATTTGAAGTAGAAGTTAGCAGACAGTCTAGATTAGTTGAATTAACTTAAAAAATATTCTTATTTAATTACCTTGTGTCAGGTTTTAGGTTTTCCACAGTAGAATGAGTTTGATTTGTAGTGATAATTGACTTCTCCTTTTCACCATCAGTCGCTCCATTTTCAGTTGACACGACCTCATACTCTGCAAAATTACCGTAAAGAGAAATTTGCTTAAATAATAGCTCTAGCTTAAGCATCTTTATTGCTCTCTCTTTTCTCATCTTTTTCTCATCTTCCACTGTCTAACAGGCTGCATGGATGTCTCATGTGAACAAGTCTGGACATCATTATTCTAAAACAGCTAGAAAAACACCTGAAGAGTTCCAATTACACATTGATGAGTGTCTAGTCCCTCATCTTTTCTCATAATTTAGTTGAGGGACAGAGGATATTCAACATCTCACCTCTGCCAAAGGCATGCTGTTAACAGATTTCTGAACACAAAAGTTTAAATATCCTTTTGTCTGAATAAAGAAGAATCAAAAATGGAATTACAGTTTCTAAATGCTTAAACCTTGACGAAGCTAAGTTTTTAAGATTTCCACACTAATTTTGGTTGTGCACTTAGGGAATATGGCATTTTAGAATTTTGTTTAAATTTACTTCTGTATTTATATTACTTATAGAGGCCTATTACTTTCTCTTTATCTCACTGGTATGTACCACCAAGAGCAAGTCATGTGGTTGGGAAGAAGATAACCCTTCAACAAGTGATATGTTGAACATAGTTTAGTAGCTTGTGGTGGCAATGATGATGAGGAGATGGTTGGACTAGATGATCTTATAGGTCATTTCCAACCTTGTAATTCTATGATTCTATGAGTCTGTGAAACCATAGCTAAGTCCAAGACACAGTCTTTCTTTATATGCATCCCCCAATGTGATTCACAACTGCCTCATCTAATGAAAACATGGAGTATATTGCTGATTTTCCTCTCTGTTAAGAAATTCACAGCTTCTCAGGATCTTACTTTATCTTCCTAAAAATTGTCTATAATCCCAAGTTCAGCTTTGCTAACTGTAAGCTAGCATAGCAAAACATTTTCAAAGAACATGCGTAATTTAGATCTATAGCATGGTGGAATAAAGCATGTATTATACTGCAAAAATGAACAAAGGAACTACCTATGAACCCTACAAAAATACTTCCTTTCCTGTTTGTTTTTTTCTCTCATGACACTATTAATTTTCAAGTTTTTAAGTAAATACTAGCAAGCCGTAGGGCTTTTTTTTTTTTTTTTCTTCTTAATTTCTCCATACAAGTATATCCATTTGTTGTCAACATAGAAAGATAAAACATTACCTGCAATGAAACTCAGTGTTGAAAAGGAAGAAAATTCTCACAAGTATTGCTGGACTTTCAGACTCTCTGTCTCTCCTAATTGTGTATGAAAATGAACGTATGCACAAACACAGAAATGAACTGATCTAATTTTGACCGTGAATATGCAGCTCTGTCTTTCTTTGCATTCTTCTTGCAAAAAGCAGACACTGAAAACACTGTAGTAAGTTATTTAATGGTGATAAAATTAAGTGGGAGTGCAAAGCATCCCTAAAACATTGGTTTTCTAAAATTCCAAGCTTCTAAGCCAGTCATTCAGTCCTGGTAATTACATATATACACGCACATGTGGATTTTAAATCCCTTGCCATAATAGTTTCAAAAGGGTATTTTTATATCATATCTTAAAATAGTCTCAGTTATTTGGAGCATATATGGAGCAAAATTAAACTTTAAAATAGGTTTATGAGCATGTAAGAATATCAGCATGAAGAAAAGAATTACTGCTGATACTGAAGATTTCGAACTTTCATTGCTCAAAAGTGCTCCTCTAGAAGACACCCCTGAAGAGCAGAAGAGCACTGCCTATTAAAAACAAAATCACAGACCTGCAGAAATGGATAGCTCAGATGCAAAAAACCATGTGATTTGAACTTTTAACTCATTCAAGTTGAAAAATAAAACATAAAACAATGTGTGCATAGGCATGTGCTTGCACGCACACACACAAAGAATTACTGGAATGCATTCAGCACCAGGTTGTTACTACATACGAACAATGAACCCCAGTGGATTAGAGAATATGCTGCTCTGAGGCAATACACTGAGGCAACACAACCAGACTAGCAGAACACCAGCAAAAATGTCTTGGTCCCTGACATTTGTAGCCTTTATGAAAACAACAAGGTAAGCTTGATCACTGCTCTGGTATTATTTGTCAGACCTTTCCATTACTGAAGTACAACTTTGTTTTTAGTAATAACCAAAATGATGAAAACCCTCATGCAATACATTAGCTAAAGGTCAACCAGAGCAATTCTTTCTTAAAAAAGGCTTAAAAAATTACACCACTGTTTCCACAGTTCTATCTGAAAAAAAAAATAAAATCTGACGCCCAAATCAGAACTTTGAGAAAACATGCACAAAAATAAGAAGAGATGACAGAAAATTTGATTTGTTTGTCTAAACAAGTAATATTGTATTTGTGCCAGCATGAAATAATCACCTTTTTGAGAAAATGGGATTCATTGCTTCCTTCTCCTGAATCCAGAAAATATCTTTGGATGAATCAATAATGGAGATATTTTTTTGAAGTTCAAGAGACAAACTCAGTGGGAGTATTTGTAAACCACAGAGTTCAAACATTATGTGTTACACATATTGAATTTAAAAAGAATTGAAATTGTTTTTATGGGATTGTTGTTACTTCTAGAAATTAAGCTACCTAGAATGAAAACTGTTTATCTCAGTGAAACAAAATGAATCCTATTTGTATGTTCTGCAGAAAGTTTTAATCTCCGTTCTCAGAAGAGAGAGGGTTATGCCAGGTGTCTCAGACAAGTCTTCCAGAAGAATCTCACAGAAAATTAATTTTTACAGTGATTACAGCAAGCACTTCCACCTAACGACACAAAATACAGTGTGCATTGCTTGGTCTGTTTTCCCTGCAAACGTGAAAAAAAAAGGAAATAAGACTGTATTTAAATGGCAACCAGGCCTTGCTTTCATCACTACATGATGCATGTTGACATTTTTCCCAGCTATAATGTAAATATTTTTACATTTCTGTAATTGAACTGGTTGTGCTGCAGTGGATATGACACGTTCAAGAAAAACAGCAGGCCTGCTTCCAAGAAAACATGCAGACTAAGTGAATATCTGATCTAATCAAACTAAGGTTTGGTATGTGGAGAAAATGTCTCTAAATGTCAACAAAAACAACAGAGCAAAACAAAAAGAGGCACTGCAGTACTGCTTAGAATGGGGACTGTTCACATAGCCTCTCCTCAGCCTCATACTTAGGCTATGAATAGGTTCACGCTTCTTTAACAGCACAACACAGCAAGTTAGGTAAACATTCCTATCTCTTGTTGATACTTTATATTAGCCTACAGACATTTGTTTCCCCTTTTCATTCATCAGGAGAGGCAACTTTTTTCCTGTTTCTCAGAAGATGCAGGTTAATTTTTGTTTTATGTGTCTCATTCAATTTGCATTTATTATTTCCCAAAACTGTGGAAAGAACAAGAAAGAATGGAGGCTGAACCTAGCAATCATTTCTAGAGGAACAAGAAAGGATTAATTTGGGAAAGAGAATTTGTGACAGTCATTATTATACCTCTGCACTCAAATCTTTCATGACAGGCACATAGAGCAACATCTGAAAACATCCCACTTATATTCTAAAGTGAATGGCTAATCATCAAGTCTTGCTCTCCAGAGTTCCTGCTTTTAACTGTTCTATTCTCTTGTAAAGTAACACAGTCAAATCTGGTTGGCCATAGTAGTGGACTACAAGTGACGCTGCAAATCAAAATTTTCTTTTATGTCAGAGGTAAAAATGAAAGTCATTTTCTGACAGTACAGAGGAACCATAAATTCCTCTCAAATGTTCAAATCTGGTCAGCTTGTGTTGATACATGGAAGATGATGGAAGAATTACGAGTGGTCTTCTTACATGTTTACCCGTCTAGGTACTCATTCATGCCTGCCTCACAAAGTGTTTACTCTCAATACAATAACCTTTTACAAATGAGAAAAAATAAACAGATGTTTTTAAACAGAGAGAACTTGGTGACCTTATGGTGGATACTACAGATCATATGTGGCAGAGTTCTGCTGATCTACTAGAATGATGTAAGCATTCTGGCTTACGTCTGGCTTGCTGATTCACTAATCAAAAACATCCGTAAGGCACAAAAGATGTCTCCGTTGTGTGTATGTAAATTAATAATAAAGAGTTCTGTTACATTGCTAGAACTTCTTGATTTGTTCTTACCAGAAGGGTTGAAAAGTTTTTCTTATCTACAGTAAACAGAAATGTTAGAAATGAAGGGAAGATATGGTCATATTTCTTAAGTATCTTTTTGTGTCATCAGAGTCTCCAGTGATATAGCTGAGAAAATGTTGTTCTAATCTATTGACATTTTCTTACACGTACTTGACTGACAGTAGCATGACACAAAAGCTCCTCTCAAATAACAGTATTTTCTTAAATTGCATAAAACCACAGAAATACTGTAATCTGATAAAATAGATGAAAAATCAAACCAACCAGTAACAGTATCATTGTCTGGTTTTTCCCAGTCCAATATGACGAAAGTTGGACAGCCCTCAACAGTCACAACTGTGAGGTTGGTTGGAGGATTCTGTGGAGGACGAGTAGGTTCTTCTTTGATGCCAGCCTCTTCTTGAGGGAAATGTTCAAGAGAGCTTGTGATAGAGCAAGGCACATCATCATCTTTCTTCATATATTTGACATGGGGTGCTAAAAGCAATAAGAAAAGGTTATTATTCCATACAAAGTACAAACACTGATGTTTTAGTAAAACATCAATGCAATTCCACCCAGTATGCAACTTCCAGTTCAGGGACTATGCAAAAATATGCACAAGTCAAAATCCATTTTTTGACTTTAAGAATTAAAAACTACATATTCAATACTCTCTCTAAGTGGCTCTGACTTATTTATTTATTTCTTTTTAAAATTTTCTTATTTTTTTGGTTGTTTTAGATATGGAATCTGCACTCACTTCACTCTCTTCCCATGGTCATGAATGAAAAGTTACTTTACAGGCACTTATGAGTAATACATGTTGTTAAACAATTTGAAATAATTAAATTTTGTTGTGAAGAGCACAACGGGTTGTACTCTTTCTACAGCAAAGTGACTCCACAATTTCATTTGCAACTTTTGAGTGCTATGATAATACAAAGACGTAATGCCCACTAGTCCACCAGCAAGAGTAGTGTTTAGTTGAGAGTAATTCAGTCATTAACTTGCAGCTTCTAGAAAATGCTAGAATCTCAAACATTTTCAGCAGTACAGGATCAAACCTTGGAGAAAACCTGAGGCAAATGTCTTGCATTCTGCAAGAAAATTTGTAAAAGAAAATTACTGAAATTTATAATTAAAAACTCATTAGCTCTAAAATTCAAATTTGCTAGACTGCAAGTAGGAGGCTGTAATATGGAAGAAAACAGAATAGATGTAAAATGTAGCCAAGAACAGGCTGGTGATCCTGATTCTCCACAGAGCCCTTTCATCTGACTGAGGTGAAAAAGAATCAAATGAAGTTCTGGCCCTCAAATAATCAAACAAGAAAATTTTGATTAAAGACTGTTTCCATATATTTCCCCAAATTGAAATAACATAGCTTTTAAAATCCTACCTAGGTACCTTGGTTTGCCTGAAGAGTCTGTTTCTGACGTAGGGCTTGAACTGAAGACAGTTGCATCAACTGTAAGGAGACACAGTTATGACTCAGTTTGCAATAAATATTGTTTCAATGTTAGAACTCTAGAATTTCACAGTTCTTCTGGCATTTTAAATCATTCCTGGAAGTGTTCCTCCACTTGTAGCTTACTCCTACATGATTTTATAAAAGATTAATTCACAACAGATCATTATGTTTATCCTATTGCATTCTTTCTTTTTTCTGATCTAGATAGTAACATATTGATCTTAGGTAGTAGGATACCACAACCAGCTTGAGTGTTTGCCACTGTCAAGTTAACAATTTTAATTTATATCCTATACAAAATGAAATGTTCAGTAAAAGAAGTGTCTTATTTACTTCTCTCACAGACTAAAAGCAGACACTGAATAGTACTGAAGTCCTGCTTAGCATGTATTGATTTCTACCAAGATAGAAGGGTCATCATGTTCTCCTTTTACAAAGGTGTATATTAGAAGATACTGATATGAATTCAGCCAATTTACCAAAGACAAAGTGGCAAAACAGAAATCAGAATCATCCCAGATAGAGTACTTCTTATATTAAATATATGGTGGATCAGTGTATTCAAGAAAAGGAAACAAGAAAAAAAGAGGAAACTTAAGTGCATTTTAGAAAACAAACAAACAAACAAACAAACAGTTCAGAACTGTCTGTGTTATACTCACCATAATACTCTGGAGTTGCAAAAGCTGTTGGTGTCTTATATGGTACTCCTGTCTTCACGGGCATTGTTGGTCCTGCTGGTTTAGCTATGGTGACAGAAGGAGGAGCTTATGGCAAAAAGGCATTCACTATTCAGAAAATCAAAAAGCTACTTCATTCTCATCAGAATTCCGATTTCTGATGACTACTTCATAAAATATGTGGGTAAATACTTTCATTAAAACTACTTCCCTCAAAACTTACTCAATAGCTTCCAGTTGGATTTAAAAAGTCTGAGTTGTCCATATTGGCAATATAACTTACCTTGAAATCTAATAATAAAATTCTTTGTTATTTGGAGACTGCCTTTAAGAACTTCAGTTAGCTAGAACATGACCTGGCTATAAAGCACTGGTAAAAGTCATAAAATAACCAACATTAACATTCCGTTTCTTGAATAAAAGAGCACATTTCTTTACAAGACAAAAGAGCTAAGTCAGTAACTGATATTCAGAAACCTACCAGACAATTGTGGCTATGAAATCTCATCTTCAAAAATCCACAAACTACATAATGTAGTCACCTTCACTGGCAGTACAACACATAACATGATGACTGAAGGCAGAATGTTGATGAATTAAGTTCAAAAAATGAAGGTAGTATAAAAGTGGACAGTGGAAATTTTAGATTCTTACTTCTCACTTCAGTCCAGTTCCACAAATGCTTTGGAACTTACTTTTTTTTTTACTTTTTTTTTTTCTTTTTTTTTACATAGCTAAGAGACTTTTAATGCCTGCATATAGACTTTCTCATAACATTAATCTAGTGGATGAGTGAGAAAGATACAAGTAAGGAATTAATCACAGCATTAATAAGGAGAAACAGAAGAAAATTATGACAGGAAAAATCCAAGAGGAACATTGAAGCAAAATTTTCCTGTTAATGATGTGGAACAACCTCTCTAGAGAACTGAAAGAAACTTGCACGATGTTTAAAACTAAGCTGAATAAACACTATGAAACAAAGAAAAAGGAAAATCTACTACTGGCCCTACAAGGAAGGTCCAGGTCATCTAACCAATTTATTCTGTCTTGAATGTCTAGGAAGACATGACAACTGATGACTACTCCATAACCTGGCCACTAGTGTATGGAAAAAAAAAAGGTGGAATTCCAAAATGCTGTGAGATGAATTAGAGATTTAATGGAGAAAATAAGAACAGATCCCATTACAAGCAAATGAAAATGCATCAAGGCAAATTTTTTTGTGTGCTACATATTAAGACTGACAAGGTCTAATGTTCTGTTTTAGCTATTACTAAGAAAATACCACCAGTCAACAGGAAGTGCAGACAACATTTCTTAGCTCTGCTGTTGTGCAGATACACAGCTTGTTTCAACCATCTTTGAGATCTTTACTTCTAAATTGCTGCACAAAATATTAAAGATTTATTTAGGTCCTGCCACCATGAAGATCTGCTACTGGGGTAAGCTTTCTCACAACGATGTCCGCAGAGATGGATCAGCTTAGATTCTGTAGCAAAGGACACAGAAGTCAAAAGAGTCTTCCTTGATAGACCCAAACAGAAAGGTGGTCTTTGCTTTCAAGAAAATGGAGAAAAAAATCCATAACTTTCTTGCCTTAATAACACACAAATTCCCCAAATGAAATAAAACAAAACAAATAAAGTGAAATGATTAATAAAGCAGAACCAAGACGTTTTTCGTATTTCCAGTGAAATAAAAAGAGTAATATGAGGAGGGGAGTATTATGATACTAAGCAGAGTGAGATGAATTAACATTAACCTATTAACCTTTGGATTCTAATTTCAAATCCAAATACATACGAAGTGATACTGAATATTACTGTCAGGATAAAACTAAAATAAAACAGGAAATGTAAAAGATTCTGCATGCTCTAACAATGATACTGAGAAGAAAGAACACTGTTACACATAAATGAAGCTAAACTCATTGTACATGTGATAACTTCTATTCCTCTACGTCCCAGATAAGTTAGTTTTGCCTGCCTATTAGCTCAAGCTATATCCAGAGGTTAATGCATGTGCCAGATACACAGGACAGAATTTTTTATAAATTATTAGCTGTGGATATGTATTGAAGCATAATATCTGATATCTCCCATCTGATACATACATTAAATAACTGCAAATGCTATTAGTAGACATGAAATGTTTTTATGGTTGATCTATTTAAAGGATGACTTGTATTATGCTCATTTGATGCTGGTTTGCTCTCACCTCCCTTACTGTGGATGAGATACATAACAAGGTTAAATATATCTGTTTCTATATAGAAATAATTTATATATTCAGACAAAAGACACAAGGCTCTTTAAGAAAACTGTTTTTTATAGATATCACATTTAATTTAAGAAAGAATTTATACTATAAAATTCTCCTGTACACAGATAGTGAGTTAAGTAACACATAACATGCTCATGCTGAAAAGGCTGAGATACCTGGTATGCCTGGTTTACCCGTCACAGTGTTTGGAGGCAGAGGCTTTCTTCGCATTGGTGTAGGCTTGACAGGAGGTATAGGAGGATGCTGAGGTCTAGGTGATGTAGTTCCTGAATGACATAATAGGACACTGTCATAAATTATTTAACCTCCAAGTCAATAAAATCAGAAAATACAACAGAAGTCATATTCTGACATCTGAAATACTATTTCACGTTTGATTTAGTAGTAAAAGCAAAGACATGAAGCATGAAAATAAATACAGTTGTATTTTCAGTCTTGAATTCTTTGGAAAGTGTGTGTTATGGTATCTTAAACCAAGCTTACACTGATAATATAAAGATCCTCCAGGATTTTGTACAAATGCTTTCAAGGTTCATTTTATGTGTAGTTAGTTAGTCTCATTTCTGCCAACCATTCTTTTTTTGGAAGCCAATGGGATACTTCTTCCCACAGTAAACAGTATCTGAGAGTAGTTGGAAACTACTTCAGTGCCCTACTCACAGAATTCATTACTTCTGTACTTTCTAACTGATATAACCAGTCCCCCCCAGATTGAAGTGTAAGATGTAGCAAAGGTGAATTATTATTAGAGATATGTTATCCAATACTACTTTAATGTAAAAAAGTGAAAAAATCTCTGTATGGATTGACATGTGTAAAGACTGGTATTCTGCTAGAAATGTCTGAAGCAGCCACGTAGGCTGAAGCAACCAAATTCTGATATAACATATCACATATAACATATAATGTTTTTGCATATCTTCAGTTAAAATATTCTGAATGTTTGGAAAATGCAATTGTCTCTCTTTCAAGAGAGTTAAAACTGATAAGACTGGGAGAGCACATGTAAAGAAACTCAAGCTATTTCACTCCACCTTGGTATTTTGCAACATCCCTCGCATTCTAATTTTCCTAACTATCCTAACATCCAACAAAGCCTTCTTATCAGTGGGAATGTATTTTGATTATCTATTCTCCCTTGCTATCTAGACTATATAAGAATGAAAATAATCAGCGCTTACAGTACTGTGGCTGTTTGACCAAATGGGTGAAACAAACAGTGATGATGGTAATTTATAGTTGCAAACATGTGCCACAGAATGAGAAGAGGCCACGAAATATTCTTATTTTTATCTCTTACAACAATCCTGAAGTAAGAAGTATATGCATGAATATGACGATTAAGAATTTCTCTTCTTCAGCGGAGGTGTTTTTATGTAAGAAAGATAATGTCTTGATTTTTCATAGCTATTAGAAATCTCTGTATCTTTTTTTTTCAGTTAATCTTACCAGAGAATGGCTTCTCCCAGGTGTCAATATATTCCAAAGGTTTTTTTACATCCATGCCAATATGTCTGGCAATATCCTCAGGTGTATATATGTCATCTGTGAAGGGAAAGGGAGTAAACTATTTTCTACAGGGCAGTACTGACTTATGAAACAATTCTACATTGTATAGGTTCAAACTCTCACCAACATGAAGTGCAAAACTGGTATTTTTAGTGATACCTTTGTTATATCTATTTTATTTTCCTATTCAAGTAAGTAGAAAGTAGTCTTGATCTAGAGAGTCTACACTTTAATTCTAAGTATTCATTGATGAAGGTATATTTAGAAATAGAGAATAAGATTAAGGGAAAACTGATGATGTAAACCAAAATTATAAGTGCAAAGATGAGTACAAGGAACATTTCAGATTTTCAGCACAGAGGATGTCTGTTGATTCTTGTAAATGATGAAATTCTTTTCCTCAAAAATAATGTCTTTGCTTGTTGTCTATATTGAATAACTAGAGGAATTCAGAAAACAAACAATCTATACTTGGAGTACTGGAGACAAAGGGTCTATAAAATTCAGTTTATATACAGAAGAATGTCCTACTTAAAAGGAATATTAATGCTTTAAAAATATAAATAAATTAAATGACATTAAAAAGATCAATGCAACTTCTAGTACAGATCAACTGTTTCACAAGCTGACATTCATAGGATAACCTTTATCCATTCGTAGGATAAAGTAAATAAGTGTATTTACTTTATGAAAATCTCTTAATATGGTAGACCGAGAAGATCACACATTGTGATCATCACGTTTGTGAAAAATTCACCCTTTCTCATGACATGACAGAAAACCTTGAAATCTGAAAGGAAAATAAATAAGAGATTAATGATCAAATTGGATAGCCTATTTCCATGTGATCTAAACATTTCGACAAAGGTTTTCATATTTTTATAATCCAGTCTTCAACTTGTTACTGACTACACTGGTATTTCAACATATGAAGAACCTATTTTTTTAAAATATATTTTACTGTTTCACTATTGATGCTAAGTATATCTTAGAAATCCACAGTAAAAATGGAATTGGATGGAAAGTATGCACTCTAAAAATATGACTGAGTCTCAGTATTCTCACAGAATAAAGTAGCAGTATGGAAACATGAAATGATTCCCTACAGGTTAAAATAATGAGACTTGAAGTAAGTTGTATCAAGATGTGGTTCTTCTGGTCCCTGTGACTGAAAATCCTAAACGTATTGTGTGATTTTAATATAACTGCAATTTGCCTTCAGGTAACTAAAGTGGTTAATTAATTAGGTCTTCAGGTACACAAAGCACCAGAGCACTAATCAGTGTTTCTTGTGAATGGCATTTGAGGAAGGTGTATGAGAACATCAGTGTTAGCTTTAAAAAGAAAAAGAAATCTTATAGAGCATAGGCATCAGACAAAGCATACTAACTTCTTAACTTTACCCCACAATAAATACTTCAGCAAAATGTATCATTACATTGCCTAATCTCACAAAATCACCCAGGCATGCAAGTATCTATTACAAGTCTAACTTAGTTCTGCACCTGTGTCTTCAAAAAGCCTGCCTCTATTCTTAACTATATAATTGGGAATCACAATCTGTTCTGAGTTGTATCAGCTAGCAACAAAAAAAAATGTTGTAAACATTCCAGATGGCAGAAGAAACATTTTGTTCAGAACCATGCACTATCATTAGGTTTGTAAAACATGCTCCTTTTGACAAAAGTCTCAATTTTGAGTACTTTAATGCTCTTCAAAATCACTGACGTTTGTCTGTTTCTACACAAAGTACCTGCAATGTCCCACAGCTTTCTGTATTTATCATAGCACTTGTGTTAAGCAGGCTATGTTAGCTGCCATAGTATAAGCATTTCAACATTCATCCGAACTTGTAATAGAACTGAGAATAATTTCGTTAGATGAATGTGTATCCATGTTTCTTTAAGTTACAATTTTTAAAATTATTATTTTTTAAGCATGCATGGGGTCTGAGACAGCTTAAAACTAACTAATGCATCTCTAAAAGCAGGAATGCCATTAGAAGGGAAGAAGTAGAAAAGTGCTGTTGATAAAAAATTAGAGCATATATAATCATAGAATTATTAAGGTTGGAAAAGTCCTCTAAATCATCTAGTCCAACTGTCCACCTAGCAACAATGCTGCCCATGAAACCATGTTCCCCAGTACTGCATCTACACATTACACCTTAATATTTGAATTCCTGTAGAACTTTGCTATACACTCGCAGTTTCAAAAATAAAAACCAAGGAGAGCATAAAGTTGCTGTCTGTTCTAATGAAAACCAACTGTCTCTCAGAATGGAGGCTAAATGTTGTTGAAACTTTGTTTGCTGAATTTTGTCCAGAAGTTTTTAAATGCTAAAAATTAAACTAGATACTGCTTGGGTAAGGTATATTACATACATGGAAGTAAATACAAAAATCCACGTCTTTAAATTGTAGAGAATTTATTTAAAATGACTTAAAACATGGCAGAAAAACAAAAAGGAATGCTAGTCAAGAAGGTGCAACCCCTGCTCCTTTCCCACAGTCATGTTAACCAGCTGGCATAACAGCTACCTATACAACTAACCAGGAGAATTAAAAGCCTGCCAGGAAACCAACTACAGTCCCATGCACTTTTGCTGGAAAAAACAAACTCCACAGCTTATCATCTGGGCCCTGCAGCTGCCAAGCACACTTTGCATGGGGTGAAACATTGACGCTAACGTGTATGCTCAGGAAGAAGAACTGGAGCACTTTCAACATTGATGCCTGATGGAAGTAAAATGTCCTATCTGGTCTTGAAACAACAGAGTAACAAATGTACTCTTCAGAAAAAGAAATAATGTTTAAATGCTTGAAAACTTATTGTTTCTTACAGGCTGGTTAAGGATTCTGAACAGCTTACACCAGCGGTTAAAGAATTCTGATCAGCTAACTACAGAAAATAACTTACTGTTTTCATAGTGGAAGAAACATACTTCTCTACTCTCAAAAATAATCAAAACATATTAATTTGTATTATAATTTCTCTAACATGTCATCTACTGAAAAAAAAATAACTTTTTTCTCGGTAAGATTTAGGCTTCAAAGTTAGTCAAATTCTCTTTTTTAAGTCTTTTCAGTGGATTTAAGATATCGTTTGCAACACATAATTGCATATTTCTTGGGAGGGTTGTAAGGGTTGTGAGGGTTGCTCAGATATTGCATTTGTGATGTACTTGCACTACAGAAAGTTTGGGAATTTTACTTATTGATCATCAAGGGTAGAATATAGTAGAGAATGAACAGAATTTGCTAAAAGCTGCAGCCCTCTTTGGTCATGTCATGATTGTGAAAAATTCATTAGTGATCTCTCTGCACTTTTGAGAAGATGTCGTGTTATAAGAAGGTATCAGTGAGTTGCTATGCCAGCAGGACTAGATGTACAAATAAAAAGTTGAGAATATATGTCCACTCCTTCTTAGCACTTTGGACATCCTGTTTAACTTAAAGGACCCACTTGACAGGATGCAAAATCTAGCTAACAGATCTCCTCATGATGTCTTCACTTAGAGGAAAAGACATAAATAGCTGAGGAATGAAAGTGTTGCAAAAGTGTCATTTTTCAGAACTTTAAAAGAAGGTATCAGTTTCCTTGTGAATACTCAGCTTACACAACAAGCTAATATAGCCTTGTGAGGATTTCTGACATCATCTACCACAGTGAAAGTAGTTCTTGATGGTAAGTAGCCCTACTGTAAAGACATAGAAATAAAGACTTGTGGGTACTCCAGATGAAGCATTTAAGACAAAAATTGCTTAAAGTAATACTATAGTAATGACCTAAAATAGCAGTAAGCACAATAAACAACACTTACAATAGTTAAATATCTGTTATTATGTTAACACTTCTGGCTTTTGTTTTAATTATTTTTTCTACTTCATCTAAAAATGTCACTACCGGGGCACTGCTATATGGAAGAATGAAAATTTTTTACATACTGTCTAACATAACTCTGTATTCATGGCACTCAAGAACAATATAGAATTATTAAAGTCAGCAATTATATTTTACTGTACTCTAAGGAATTAACTTCAAATCAAACGTAATGAAGTATTTTGCAGGGTTCAAGATTATTTCATTAAGTAACATTCCTAACACGTTAAAAAAAAAATAGCTCTACCTGTTGTTGGCACAATCCATTTTGGCAAGCCAGGTGCTTTTGTTCTAGCTGGTGCTACTGTGGTTTTACTTGGAGCTGAGAAGAAGTTAAAACAAACAAACAAATCAAAAACCAAAAAACAGTAAAAAAAAGAAGAAAAAAGAAAAAAGTTTCATAAGAAGACTACAAAGTCAAACAGACTTATTTGTGATGGCAACAATTCCATATTAGAGAAGAATAAGTAACAGTTGCTGTTCTGGTATGTATGATTTCTTCTCCTACATTGGAAAGGCTTTACCTGCAAACTGGTTAATTGGAAGAAAAACCTGCCTTTTTCCCAACAATAAGTAAGATTCCTCTAAGAACAAGTGAACATCATTCATTAAATAATGATTTCTCCATCCCATTAAAAAAAAAAGAAAAAAAAAAAGAAAAAAAGAATAAATAATTATTACCAGGTCTGGCCTGTGATTTATCAGATGGCCTTGGTCTTAAAGAAGTGAGACGTGTTTTATGTCCTGCTAAAAAGAAATAAAGTTCAGTTTAAATACTATGTGTAAAAGCAACATCAATAATGCAGCGTAATTTGCCACAAAAAAATGGTCCATGCACCAAAGTGATACAGCAAAATGGACAAATGAGAATTCTATGAGTTCCAATCCAAAATGCACACTAGTTTCTTTAGTGGTCAGATTACTCCATCATGCAGTCTGACCAGTTACATTCATGTTTAGGTTTAGGAAAAGATATAAAATATTTACAGCCAGTTACCCAACTGTATATGGATACAGAGTTAGCTCTGCAAGGTATCCATGGCCTTAAGACATTATTTAGGTTCTGTAAAAAACAAACAAACAAAAAACCTCAAAATAAAACACCAAACTGAATCTCCCCAAATCAAATATCCAGATCAAAACAAGAAATATTGAAATATTCCTGTGAAGACAAACGAAAGCATTCAATGCAGACACTATATAGAGCTGTAGAACATAGCAACATCAGCAAGATTAAAATTACAAGCCTTCAACCTTTTCCTACTGCCACCTTTCATTTGTCCGATAGTTTCAACATTTTAGTTATTACAGTATGTATGAGAATCTCACTGAAAGCTAAAAATGTAAGCAGTTGTCACTGTCATTTCATGCCAAATAATGGACTTCAGTAACTTTGAGGTAAATGTCTTTACATAAATACAGCTAGCTATTTGATATTTGAGTCTAAAAACCATCCTATCAACATCACTTACTCTAGCTTCTTTGAAGTGCCTGAGAAAACATTTCTTGTGGAAAGAATGTATTACTCATTTTTGACAGTTATAGTTGGGAAATTTTCCGAAAATTTAGATCTAGTATTTTGGAAAGAAAAATCTGGAAATCAGTTACATTTGTGTTTGCAAGACTATTGAATGGAGGACCAGGCACATAAAACCGAGTACTTAAAAGCCTTTAGGAGTAACAAGAATAAGCCACTAAATCTTAAATCATATTGATTTTACTTAACAGATGTAGGTAGTCAATGCAACACAGAAAATCATAAGAATTACCTGTATACAACCATGGAATTTCAGTAGTGAGAGCAGTTTTGGGTTTGGGTGAAATCTGATACGTTTCATTGGGAACTGAAATAGGAGATTTCATTGCTTATCAACTGGAAATTATTTCTTTTAAACATCAAATCACCACAGGTAGAAGAGAAATTTAAACTGAGTGCAGACAATAAACAAAAAAAGTCAGTGATAGAAACCTGGCTGATAATCAGGGTTTCATGCAAAGACTAAAAGACTGGGAAGATGTACACAATTAATAAATCAAACGACAGTGGAAAAGATGAGCAGCTAATGTCTTTTTATATGACTCCTCATGTATGAGAATTTTTATAAGGAATATCAACCAAATGTCAGGAAAGTTCCAGGAAAATTAAAAACATCAATATTTTGTACATGCACTGGAGTAAGACTAACAAATGAACAAGGCAGAGATATATTTAAGTTATTTCTGTTGACTAAAGTGTAAGTTTAGTCATATAGAAAAGCAGAGAAAGGAAAGGTATAAACAAAAAATAATCTGACATAATATTTTCATTACCCAAAGTCATTTTGGACCCATCAACAACATGAACTGTTATAAGGTTAATTGATCCCAGGTGTGTTGTCTTTGGAGCTATGAGAAATAAAACATTACTCTATGAGAAATGAAATCAATGACATTGGATTTACTTAAGTATCTTTCATCTTAAGTGTGTTTCATGAAAATTTATCTACACGTCTGCTAAGACAATTTTTAGTGACAGGAAATAGGCATGCGCTCTAATTAGCCTGGATGTATTTTCATACTGACAGCCAGACACTGCAAGTGTTCTGTTGGGCCTTCAGCTTCAGAGCAGACATCCTAATGGTGGACACTAACTTGTGCTTTCCTAACATATTTATCTTTAAGGCATTCTTTTCTGGTGAAAAGGTGGTGATGCACTGAACAGTTTGCCCAAGGAGGCTGTGGATGCCCCATCCCTGGAGGCATTCAAGGCCAGGCTGGATGTGGCTCTGGGCAGCCTGGTCTGCTGGTTGGTGACCCTGCACATAGCAGGGGGTTGAAACCAGATGGTCACTGTGGTCCTTTTCAACCCAGGCCATTCTATGATTCTATGATATGATTCTATGATCCTGACTCAGATATGACAAAATTTTGTCAGCAATATCTAAGTTATTGGATGAAAAGGAGAGACTTGAAAGCAGAAACACTCTGTATGAGTTTTTGCTTCTTTCAGAAATAACAATAGAATACAGAAGCTGGAAAATAACCTACTTATTAGTATAAATAGTGATGACCAAATAGTGCCACTTGTTTTTATCAACTTTCACGATAACAGTAGCCTCTATTTTGTGTAAAAGTCAGTAAAGTGAACTAAATTTTAGAAGGAAAAAATGTAACTACTTAAGCTGCAATTTCTAAAATTCTTTTATTAAACCAAGCTTTGCAGTGGTGCCAAAATATGATACTGGTTAAATACTATATGATTGGAAATGGGTTCAATTGAGACTTAGAATCTAGCTAATTACAGAGAGTTTTTCAAAATAATCCTTTAGAAAATAAGTCTTTTTGCTGGACTGTTCAATTTGATTTTCACAACAAAATATAGGTATTGTTCTTTTAATTAATGGTGCTTAAATTGTTTCTAGCTACATAAGAACTCTCAGGAAAAAAAAAGGGGAATGATAAAACTGTTCATCAACTTACCTAAAAAAAGGTATTACTAGTTGGAGACAGTTGAGAATTATGGATTAAAAAAAATTAAGATTTATGCTGTCACTCCTTCCTTTATTTTCTTTCTGTGCTGTAACTGTTCTACCAAGTTATTTTTATGGAAATAGTTCACACAAAGGGTGATGTTGATATACTATGTATACTTCATTATAACTTTGGATCTCTAAATTTATTGCAATTACTGCACTGATCAGAAGACAGTACTTCTACTCCTATCACCTATCTTTGACTAAGATTCTGTAGCCTGAGTTTCAAGAGAACTTGCAAAAATAAAGCACATTAATTTTCTGTAATAAACTTCCTAAAAAACTTAGTGAAGCCAGCTACAGTAGTATACTCTCATTCAAAATTAATCAAGTTCCTCATATTTTAATGTCTTCTATACACCAATTAAAAAAATGAACCTTTAGAGAATACATCTTTACTTTTGTGTCCCAAGTATTTTATGCCCTTTTGGGGCATTATTTTTGATGTAATCTATTGATGTACTACGAGCCAAACAACGATGCTAATTTATCTCTAAATATTGTGCGTGCCATATCACTGCGGTAAGGAATCGCGGCAAAGATTATAACTCAGTACAACAGTAACACTTTGAAAGTTAAAAACTTTTAATTACCAGGTTTAGTCTGTGGTACTTCTGTCTCAACAGATGATTTAGGTTTGAAAGGAAGGAGCATTGTTTCTTTTGGAGCTGAAAAAAAGGAAAAATATTGTTACTGTATTCTTTAGGAGTCACAATTCAACACCGTATTTCGCCCACCAAAAATACATGCCTCAAACGCCTGAAAAAAAGACAATAACAATTTCATGGTTTCCTGGAACCTGAAACAAGATGGCTTTTCAAAACCCAGAAAATATCTAGATTTGAGCTGTAGGGTATGTTGAGTCAATGGCTAAAATTCTTGCTCTAAAAAAATAAATAAATTAGACCATGGAATTTAATTGAGCAATTGATAAAGGCTTCTGACTAGGATAGAAGTGAGACTCATCTGTATTCAGAAATGTGTATGCAAGCAGAATGAAGAACAGTAGCATGATGATAAAATACACACAAGAGCACATTCTCTAGAAATTTCTCAATTCAGAAATTGTAAATATCTGCATCTTAAGATTAAAGAAATTTATTTACCCATTGTTGCCCTTGACTGCTCAGTGGTGGTGGAAGTTTTTGTGATAATTGTTTGTGGGGTTGTTTGATGTACTGCTGTTAAGGGAGAAAACGTGGAGATGCTTAAAATATTAAAATATTTATATGTTTTTTATATTAAAATATCAAAATGTTGAACTGTGATGGAAATAAATTACATTTCACTATCTGTAAAACTTGAAAAACATCCCAAACTAAAAAGTAACAGAATATCTTAAATATCAACTGCTCGCAGTATCTTTCCAGTAAGTTCTCCTGTAATACTGATTTTTTAACAAAAACAGGAAGAGACAAGGGCTACCCTAACTATTTTGTGAGTACTTCATTTCAGTATAACACATCCTTTGCTGAATGTATAAGCATATTTCAAAGGAGTAATATAGAATTTTACGGGGGAAAAATGTGCTTACAAAGAGCCTCTCTAGTTGTAAGAGAAAACTGCATTTAAGCCACTGAAATTTGTCAGCTCTCCAATTACTACATTTCAGCCATCACTTGCTGAGTGTAATAGAAAGCAGGAAAAATGTTTCCAATGCTAGACTATACATACTAATATTATTTGCAGTGTAACTTGGACTTGTAGTTTTGACATATTTTGAATTGACTGACCTAAAGGCAATGCATTTGATGAAGCACAAAAACAGGTATGAATATTTGTGATTAAAAAAAAAAAAGCACGAAAACTCAGGCTAGGGAGAAAGAATAGTTAAATACAAACAATAACACCAACAAAATTACAAGAATGACTTCATTACCAGGTCTGGTGTATGGCACTCTTGGTTTTTCAGATGTTTTTGGTTTGGTATGAATGAATGGTTTTTCAGTTGCAGCTGAAATTAGAAAAAAAAAAAAAAAAAAAAAAAAAAAAC